GTTTCTTCATCAGTTAACTAAAATTAGGTGGAGGTATGTTCTTATTCCTGACAGAGGGGTACTCAGCCTATATCAATTTGTGCATGAAGCGATTGATAGTTGCTAGATACTGAATAATTTTACCACAAATTTGTGAAAGTTTTAACCGGTGTATATACTTAAAATATGTTAATAAAGTTCATGTCTTTTTCAGGACTTCTGATCCAACCATGTAGTATGGCATGTTTGTGAGATATGGTTTTGGCCAGTAGGATGTTCATGAAGGACCTGTAGTACAAAGTATATCACTGGATTGAGCTCATTGTCTAAGTGTATTATTAAAGTGCTTTGCTTTGAGCTCAGTTCATTGTTATGCAATTCATTCTTTGTGAAATAAAGATTTGACAGACAACTCTCATGTACAAGAAATTGTCAAAGTAGTATCCATTCTATGAACAATGTAAGTAATAGGGAGATAAAAGCATTTTATTTAGATTTGAACCAAACATTTTTTGTCCATTAGCCAAACTAAAAAAAAGAAGCACAAATTCACCAAACAATGCTACTGGCGCTACTAGCAATATGATGCTAGGTTCTTTTGTTACACTTTATTATGCCCCAGCCGTATCTGAGGGGGCATTAAGTTTTACCCTAGTCCGTCTGTACGTACGTACGTCCCAAAATTGGTTTCCGTTCTCTAACTTTAGTTTGCCTCAACCAAATGTTATGAAACTTATACACAATGCTTATTACCACAAAACACAGATCCAGTTTGAATTTTGGTTTTGTAACTTTTACCGTTCTAGAGTTATGCCCCTTTACAAATGGAAAAATTGCTGAATTTTTCGTTTCTGTTCTCTAACTTTAGTTTGCCTCAACCAACTGTTATGAAACTTATACACAATGCTTATTACCACAAAACACAGATCAAGTATAATTTTGGTGGCATCACTTTTTACCGGTCTAGAGTTATGCCCCTTTACAAATGGAAAAATTGCTGAATTTTTCATTTCCGTTCTCTAATTTTAGTTTGCCTCAACCAAATGTTATGAAACTTATACACAATGCTTATTACCACAAAACACAGATCAAGTTTGAATTTTGGTGGCGTCACTTTAACCATTCTAGAGTTATGCCCCTTAAGAAATGGAAAAATTTCAAAATTTTTATTTTCTTCTAAATATCAAGTAATTTTTTAATTGGAGTTATCTTCCTTTGTCCATGATTATAGTTGAATCAGCTACAATCAATGCTTTATACAATGCAATGTTTAATTTTGACTTCCACTGATAAAACACAAATCAAGGTGAATTTGGGTAGCGTCACTTTAATCATTATTGAGTTATGCCCCTTTATAAATTGAAAGATTGCAAAATTATTAGTTTCCATTCTGTAACTTAAGTTTGCCCCAACCAAACATTATGAAACCTATACACAATATTCATTACCTCAAAACTAAGATCAAGTACAAATGTTTTGTTTCCGTTTTCTAACTTTAGTTTGCCTCAACCAAATGTTATGAAACTTATACACAATGCTTATTACTACAGAATACAGATTAAGTACGAAATTTGGTGGCAACACTTTTACCATTCTTGAGTTATGTCCCTTTATAAACATAAAAATTGCTGAATTTTTCGTTTCAGTTCTCTAACTTCCAAATGTTATATAACTTATACACAACCGTTCTAGAGTTATAATTATTTATTGTGTGTTTACAAATAGAAATTGCTGAATTTTTAGTTTCTGTTCTCTACTTAAGTTAGCCTCAACCAAATGTTATGAGACTTGCACACAATGCTTATTACCACAAAACTAGGATCAAGTTCAAATTTGGGTAGCGTCACTTTTACCACTTCAGTTATGTCCCTTTATAACTATATGATATGCAAGTGGGGGCATCATCTGTGTCCACATGTGGACACTATCCACATTTTTTTTTTTAACATCTGTACTGCCTACAGGTGACTCAGTCCTGAGTGTAAATGGTCATTCAGTATATTAAAAAAAAGATCAGAATGTATAAGGCCTATCTGGCCTAATTGATTTCTAAAATATATTTCATTGTACATGTTCAACATTTATCATTCATTTGTTTATTTCTTAATTTGTGTGAATTAACAGTAAATGTTAGTTACTACACTTTCATACCATAACAAAACTGCCTTACTGTATTGGTATCACTTATATTTGTATCCATATAACAAAAAAACTGAAAAGAGAATACTTTTGCAATAGCTTTTTCATATTGAATACTAAAACTTTTTAGATATTTATACATATTAAGTAGATGTTCATAATATCCACTTGACATTTTATCATATGACTTCTGTAGTTAGTTATGAGTCTTTGAAGCATGCTCACAAAGGTTCTTTTGTTGATATCATTTTCATACTGGTCAAAACTTTTTTTTGCTTTGACCAGCTTTGGAGGAGATATTTTCAAAGAATTAATAAAAAATAACACAGAAATTAACTTTCTAGCTCATCTAGCCCCAATCATCATGTCAGGCATTGTCATTACTAAAAAACATTAAATGTCTTCTAAACTGGGAAACAATTTCCACATTTAACCGAAATCTTTTACTTATGATACTGACAATCCCCCACAAAGTAATATAAATAGAACCATACAATCAGTAAGCAAATACATGTTCTCAGATACCATCTCCCATATAAAAAAAAAATCACATTAAGAAAAAAATGAACCTATTATGTGTTCCTCTCCTAGCTACAAAATGTATCCAAAATCAAAGATGTGGAACATATATATTCTATCATAATCATTTGGTAATTAATGCAATTAGTATCTCTTCCATGCCCGTGTTGAACATAAAAAACTAAATATTACATAAACAACACCCCTAATGCTCATGTTGGTTGTCATTGTGCAACACAGTTAATACATAGAAAACATAAAACATAGAACTCCTTTTGTCATATAAAACACTGTCAATCATCCAATCATACTGTCCACACTGATCTGTGTCCACACTTGTAATATATAACAAAATAAATCAAACTCATTATTTCAATAATATTACAAAGCAAAGCATTTTTGAATTTAAGCAATAACGATCAATTAAAAATAAAGGTAAATCAATGCTATTGTAATGTAATTGATATTTGTCGTTGGGTTGCTGTCTCATTTACGTATACACCATTCATAATATATCATATCCAAGCCGATTGAATATAAACTTAATCACAATTGTCAGAATGACTATTTTCGGATTTGTTGAACATCTAGGGCCTTCCCGGACCTGTTATTCCTTAATCCCGCGTGTATAGACGCCACTTGTCCATCTGCAAATTTGCGCCGACGCAAACGGGATTCGGCGAACTATTTAGAAGGCTAAATAAATTTTAAAAAATCTTTATTTCAAGAGGATTATCTCATTAGTTAAAACTAATCTTCCTGAGCGTCCTCAAAATAATAATAACATATACATATAAAAGTACATACAATATTATAATGATATATACACAATATACAATTTTATATAGATATCAATGAAAACGCATATTAATCTGCCTTCTTCAAGAAAAAAAACTGTAACATTTTGTTTCAAAAGATACAAGTGTATCACTCATCTTTATTTCATTTGGTAAACTGTTCCATATTTGAGAACCAGAATATATAAAAATTTTCTTCAAAAAATTTGTTTTTAGCATCGGAAGTTTCAATAGTTTTTCATCAGCTGAACGTAAATTATAATTTTGATTATCAGTAAAATGAAAGTTTTCTTGTAAATAGTTAGGAACCATATCCTTTAATGATTTAAATACAAGTATTGCCTTTTGATATTTAATTCGGTTTTCCACATTCAACCAATTTAAACTATTAAACAATAAAGTGGAGGATGTCATTATGTCAGCTTCTTCTATAACTCTAGCGGATTTCTTTAATAACTTAATTAATTTTTTTTTATTCCACTTTCATTACAACTACCACAATATTGCAATAATAATCGAACAATGGTAGAATATAAGCATTAAAATGAATAATACGTATATGCATAGGTATAAATACTTTCGTATCTTTTGTAATAAGTTGATTCTTTTTGATATTGTACATGACATTTTTATCTTTTTGCTCATTCCAATTTAGGTTAATTGTCGATGTATAAACCAAGACGTTTTTCACAATCCACAGTTTCTAATCGTTCATCTAGAGTCTCGTTCGTTATCGGAATTAACTAGACAAATCGCTCCACCAACTAAGAACCACCAAACGAATCAAATAAGAGTTCTCAGTCTGTCAATCCTTATAGTGTCCGGACCGGATGGATTTTCCTGTTTTGATTCATATTAAGCCGCAGTCTCCACTCCTGGTGAAGCCCTTCCTTTAATTCCAGTTTCAGCTTTGCCACCATACTTCCCAAGTCAATTAAACCATAACCACTGTTACTAAAATAGAGCATACGGTACAAAGTTATCTTGGTTATCATAATATTGTGGTATTTATGTAACTTACTGCAAATTCCAGAAATGTTGGTTAAATCCAAACCTTTATAATAAATTTTAAGTATAATTATTTTCCTTGTCGATGTGTGGAAGGAATCGAGACGCACAAAAAAGCTATATACTTATCAAAACGAAAAAAATTTAATTTCGTGCATGCGAAGCACTCCACTAATTAACCATTTACAAGGCACGCTCAAACCCAAACGCTTGAAAGTCAAGGGTGTATAAAAACCTAAAAATGGGAAGATCGATATGACCAAATGACCCCTTAAAAGTATATCAAGAAGCCAAATTCATCAAGGTAAACATTGCTCGAGGCAGCTAGAACCTTATTTTCTTAAAAACTTCTTAATTAATCAACTGAGAATTTTAGAAAAGTATGTTGCAAATCATATCAGCTTCGAGAACTGACTACTGACCTGACGACAACCTTGGGGAAGAAGAGTCCACCAGCAGTAGTACTGACCGAGTACAAGAAGAAAAATCATAAGATTGAGTATAAAACGATACACTATTACATTCAATATAACATTTATTTATCTGCATACTGAGGAGATGCCTAGATTAGAGGTGAACAATAAAGACTCCTTAGAGTCTACTTAAGTGTCTTGACGGTAATTAACAGTATACTTTTTATTAAATTTTCTGTTATACTTATTACATATATTGCATTAGTAAATATATTTTGGTCAACCAGTTACGTAGATGGAAAAGACAACGTGGCTTAACTGACCAATGAAATATGTATTAATAAGTCCTGTATTTATTTGCAGGGAAACGTCTGGATGATCCTGTTATATACACTTTTCGTGATGTTGCTTGGAATAGAAACGTAACTGTTTGTAAAAGGGAACAGCTACAGTTACTAAAGTCAGAACATTATTTCCAGAAAGGTGTTATAAAATCTGAATATGGGGTAGTAAATATATACATAAATAACCCGAAAGAAGACATTGTATCTCACGATATCTATAATAAAAATGTATGGGAACCTTGGGGAATCAATACTGTGTACAAATTCATTCGGCACGATCCTTCAATCGGCGTAATTGATATTGGTGCAAACATAGGTGTTATTGCACTACAGTTAGCTAATGTGGGAAGGAAGGTTATTGCTATAGAGCCAACACCCCAAAATACACAGCATCTATTATAAAGAATGGGTATTCTGATCAGATCACCGTTGTTCATAATGCCCTTAGCAACGATCACCAAGATGTACCATTTGCTTTTCCAAGTAAAGGAGAGTATGCATTAGGATTTGTAGACCAAGGAAAAGACAATATAGTAAAGGAAATGCCAAAGCTGTTTGGAAATTTCTATAGTAAAAATATAGTTCTCTTGAAAGCTGCTATATTGGATGATATCATGACTCTTCCAGAATTCAAAGCAATGCCAAAAGTATTCATAAAAATAGATGTCCAAGGTTTTGAACATAAGGTGTTTGAAGGTTCGGAGAAACTGTTTTAGTCCGTAAAGGTGAACGGGGTATTTATTGAATGGTACTATCACAGAAACACTACATCTGGAAAATTCCTTTTACAAAAATTTCAAGAATTTGATTTTGAACCTTTCTTCTGTAGTGACGTTTTACAAGACGTTTCCTCTAATCTTGATACTCCGTGTGGAAAAATAGATGTTAAAAGGTCTGGTTCATGGGGGACCGATGTTGTATGGCTACCTCGAGGAAAAAAGATTTAATTCAAAATACTTTGAAAGGATCAGACAATATGATTTTGTTTTGTAAGTGATTTAAGTAAACCAAAAAAAAAGTCAAGTAAACTGTTATCTTCCTTTGACTAATGTATTTATTGCATTACATCTAATTAAATTTCAATCTTTATAAATAAATGTTAAAAAATTAAAAAGGAAAAGATTCGAAAATTGCATAAGAACCTTTCCTTCCAGTTGTATCAGATATGGAGCTCTGTTTTATGTCAAACATTTATAACAAGAAGTTGTCAAATTGACAGCAAACCATCTGATCAGAAGGACAACGTGACCCTTTGTCATCACTTTGCCTCCGTCGTACGTCTGAATCATTCTCTCGCTGAATGGATTGGTTCAGATTTTGTTTGATTTATCTATAGGATGTATACTTTGAAGTTTGTGATATTCGCACGTGCCCATCTACTAGCATGGCCACTGTAGATTAAAATAACTTGCTGATTAACTGCAGCTTTTGGCTAATATCTAGAAATCTATTATAATGAAAAAAAACTGATAGTATAAAAATAAAGCACTTTCGCCTGAAATATTTGTATTTTTTTTACTTTTTTAGCAGTTTTTGGCTATTGTCTCGAAAAGTATAGGAGCTATGTTGAAAATGTGAATTCAAAAAAGGATCACCACGATAACATTGATTTCCCCAAAATTTCAACAAAATCTGACGACAACCCTATAAGTGGTTATAACCCTCCAAAGGTAATTTTTCATAGTTTTTTACTTTTACATTCAAAATTATAGAAGCTAGTGTAAAAATTAAAAAATGATCAGCACCATAATAAATATCTACCGTGAAAATGTGACAAAAATCCAACAACCGATTTTGGAGTTATTGCCTCTAAAATATTAATTTTAACATATTTTTGCACTTTTTCGCTTTTGTCTTTAATATCATAGTAGCTAGGTTGCAAATTACAGGTACACTAGTAGTTAATTAAAGTCAGGTTATCGATTTGAATGTATGTCCAGATTGTAACTCAGACTTAACGTTTCACATTCTAGATTTGCGAATTAACTCCTTAGGTAATATAATGTTTTAGATTGTGACAGTGTTTAAAAGTCGGTGTTAACATTTCTGTATGTTATTATTGCAGATAATCTGCAGCGGCATTAAGACATTGTATGTAGAGTTATAGATTGTAAGTACACGTAAGGGTGTTAGACCGAATGAGTGTATCTTATTTAACTAAGATATTAATGTTAAGCAAAACGATAGTTTTCAATAATTTAGGACGGGATCTTTCAGCGATTTGAACCATATGTTATTGAAAAGCATGATAAATGCAGGATAAGGTTAAGGAGACGGATTTGTAGAAGTTCTTCTTGTTTCCGAATCCCCGTATTTCTATTGTATAATTGTAATTTGTGCACTTTTGAAAAAAATAAAACATCGTTTAAACTAAATGCAGGGTACTCATCTTGGTGTAAATACTAATGAATACATTTTACAGCTTGTAGTTTTTACAAATGAATAACAATAAACTCTCACTTTTCAAATCTCATTGTTAACCATTAACCTTCAAATAATAGGAAGAAATAGAATTTCAAACACTAGGTCACTTGGTTAATTTGCAATATATTTTATTTATCACTCGGTCATCCAAATCAAATGTAATAGAGGAGGTTTTATTCTCTAATTTATCAGAAGAAACCTGAGACAAATCTGATATTACTTATTAAACGTAATAGAATATATACCTGCATATATTGTTGTCTGAATTCTGAACTACTAAAGGAGTTTAATGCCCCCACTTTGGCGTCAAGTTACAAAGAAATTCGATACCCCTATTTATGTTCGTCAACTCATCTCTCAAACGACTGGTCAGTCCTTGTATGATAATCTTAGTGACGTCGGTTTACATTTACTTCCTATCATAGTGAACATTACGATCAAAAGATTTCCGCTGACCTTAATTAAAGATAAGGAGGGTCGATTTGACCAAATACAAAGATGCAAACAATTACAGGTCACAGTACTATTTTCATCAGTAAGTAGAACCCATACCGTAAAGTAAGCATTAAAAAGTCCGGGATGACAAAATGCGAAATAATCCAAAAGATAAAAACAACGGCTTTTGTATGGATATGATTTAACCACTTTATATTTTGCAGAAACGTTTTTTATTGTATAAAAATGCGGTTAATTTAGCAAAATATATAAGGGTCTAAATGGGAAGGTCTTCATCTGTTCTGTATTCTTTGATTGTTTTATGCCATTTTGTTTTTCTATTCTTTATTTTTGTGCACCCTATTGTTCTCTATTCTTTTATCATTAATTTATCCTATATTTTTTACCCATTATTCTTTATCCAGTAAATCCCACCTAGACCCTAATATATGTCGGAAGTACAAAGCACAAATATAAAAAAAAAATCGAACAAAACTAATGTGTCCACGTATATACATGTATAATGAAGATGTATGCAAGATTGATAAAGTGAAAATTGTTGCAGGCTTGAAGTCGTTACCGGGTAATACACTGGGTTATTGTATAATCGGAAACATGCTACATCCAAATATGACTTTAGTAACCATAATATTATGTCATCGACAGGTCAGAATAACCGGTGAAGTTTAGATTAGATGTTGGAAATCTAAAATAAATAGAAGTTAATTTCGATAGATTTATATCCAACTAATTCTGTTTATTAGATACAAAAAAGTGTGTCTTAAAAATTGTCCAAAAGGACGAAACTGCACAGGAAAGATATATTTTATGTGTAAAATGACTGATATAGTGTTCGAGTGGACGAAAATATTTTCATCTTAAAATTTACGAAAATCAGGAAACGTTTGAAAATGCTACATTATTAAAGCACCTTAATACATGTTTCAGCTCGATACAATGTCATATTAAAAAAAATGGTAGATCAAGCAAAGACTTCATTTGATTCTTCTTACATCATGTAATGTAGTTTCCATTCCATTTGAAACTAAGGTAAATGACTGTTGTGCATCATTTGAAAAATCTAATGTGCAGTTTACTATCTATATCCATATACTGAAAAAATTCTAAGATTTTAGGATTTTTCAGTAGATCAATATGGATAGTAATCTTCAAATTGCTAGAAAAACAGAAATATTGACGCAAATGTTCAATACGTTAATAATGTTATATATAAAACTAGACAGGAAATACGAAAAATAATTTGAAACACATTGACTAACAAAATTCTAATCTGCTAACCCGAGTTCCTGTGACGGACAGGTCAAAATATGATAACTGGTCAAGTTAATTAAATACCTTTATATGTTGCATTCATAATTTGCTTTTATAAATATGCTATAAATAGATGTCACATGTAGAAAGCACAAAATTAATATTGAAAAAAATCGAACAATAATTATGTATCCTACATCACCAAGATGCATGCATGATTGATAAAGCGGAAGCTGTTGCTTGGTTTAAATTTTTAACCCGACTATGAACTCTTTGTTTTTAAATGAGAAGCACACTACATTCCATGTATGACTTTAGTTACAATGATAATATGTCAAGGACAGGTCAAAATATTATAATAAGTGGTCAGGTTTAGATTTAATGTTGGACATCTAAGGGAAAAAAGGTGAGTTAGGTCATTTTCAATATGTTTATATTTTAAACTAACGCTATTTATGAGAGAGAGAAAGAGTGCAGTTAAAAAATGCCCATGAGGACAAAAATGCAAAAAAAAGATCTAATTCTAATATAGTCCGAGATTACTCTGACGTCCAACGGCTGTTTTGCCAGACAAGCTGGGGCCGTGGGACGTCAGAGCTCGTCCCATATCAAAAAGTGGATATTTGCCCGTCCAAAATAGATGCGCTGCTTCGTCGCTTCTGGTGCCAACGGACGGCCTTGGAATTATATAAATCGGGTATCAATTTGTTCATTTTTCATTTATCTCTTCATTTATGTAAGTTTCACCTACCTGCCACCCTTTGTTTTCTCATATTTAGACAGTTTTCACAGTGACCCACCGATTCTGGCATTTTGACTTTCATTTTGAAAGATTGTCATGTGATCACGAGAAAAAAGTAAGGCACAATGGACTATGGGAAATGATGTATGCATATGACCCTAGGTCAATATGAATATATAATCTAACACCTCGCTCATTTACGATGCAAACAATGTAAATATCAGAGAGCTTCCGAATGTTATCGTGGTTGGCACTAAATGCTTAATACCGATCTCCTGTAAAGGAGATGAAAAATCGTGGTTGGCTACTAAATGTTAAATATCGATCTATAAAGGAGGTGAAAAAAGTATAAATATTTGCATATTTGAGTCTCGAGGTCGCAAAATCTCTCGTAACTTGACGGCCATTTGAAAATAAAAGTAAAAATGTCTGAATCGATGGGTCACTGTGAAAACTGTCTAAATATGAGAAAATAAAGGGTGGCAGGTAGGTGAAACTTACATAAATGAAGAGATAAATGAAAAATGAACAAATTGATACCCGATTTATATAATTCCAAGGCCGTCCGTTGGCACCAGAAGCGACGAAGCAGCGCATCTATTTTGGACGGGCAAATATCCACTTTTTGATATGGGACGAGCTCTGACGTCCCACGGCCCCAGCTTGTCTGGCAAAACAGCCGTTGGACGTCAGAGTAATCTCGGACTAATTCTAATAATGTGTGAAATGGTTGTAGAAGTGCCGGAGAAGAAATTTGGTTGAATAACTTAATCTTAAAAACGTCTTAAACTTAAGACATGCTTTAGATGAAATAATATTTTTCAATTCGATACAATATCACATTAAAAAGATGGTCGAATTATCAAGGACTTCACTTGTTTCTGTTACAGTTGGAACCAGCTCTAAATTATAAGCCTGGTAGCTTTTGTTAGGTTTTTTTTACAACCATTGGCTCAATACCACTGATGATGAAATGTTTGTCCCCGAGGTTATCATCACCAGCCCATTAGTAATCACTTCTGTGTTGACATGAATTATCATTGAAATTGTCATACCGGTATTTATAAATTAACTGTCTACAAAATGTTGTTCGAAATACTAAGGATTTTCAACCACAGGAATAGATTACATTAACTGTACTTGGCAAAACATTTCTGAACTTTTGGACCTCAATTGCTCTTCAACTTCGTACTTTATTTGACCTTTAATCTTTTTTTTTTTATTAGAGCATCACTGGTGAGTCTTTTGTAGACGGAACGCGCGTATGGCGTACAACATTATACGTCTGGTATCTTTGATGAGTTTATTTTCTAACCTCTCGCAAAATCTGCGAGGAACTGTCAGGAAAACTTTTGCAGAACAGTCTGTAGATAATAAACTCATCATAGATACCAGGATTGAAATTTTATATTTGTGCCAGACGCGCGTTTCGTCTACAAAAGACTCATCAGTGACGCTCGAATACATTTTTTTTAAAAAGGAAAAATAAAGTAGATCAGTTCTTCTGACATCTTTGAAACAGCTTTATATAGTTTGTGCTTATGATGTGCTGTTGCGTCATTGTCCCAGGTTAAAAAAGGGGGGAGATTGGGCGCACAGAAACATGTTTAACACCGCTTCATTCTGTATGTGTCTGTCCCAAGTCAGGAGCCTGTATTTCGGTGGTTGTCGTCTATTGCTGTATATCATATTTGTTTTTTGTTTCTTGTTTTGTCCATAAATCAGGCTGTTAGTTGTCTCGTTTGATTTACATTTGTCATGTTGGTGTCTGTTATAGCTTGTCATGCGGTGCTAACTACTGTCATTTCGGTCTCTGGGGGAAAGTTGTCTCATTGACAATCACACCACACATTATTATTGTTTATATAGTACAATATATATCATAACTTATTTAAAACAAAACACCATTAAATATATGTAAATATACCAGTACATATTATATGAACATTAAATTTTATAAATTGAATTTGAATACATGTTTGAATCCCTATGAGATGCTTTATTATTATAGAATACGTATCTTGTAAAAAGGGTCAGTTTGATGCTGCTTTTTAAAAAAAAGCATAAGTTACAACTCCTTACAAAGAGAGAAAGAGCGAGTCCGTCAAACGTCTAAGCAACAACGGACAACAACAAACACACAATTGTATAACACATGTCGAATAATCTACTGAGAATTAATGAGTTGTATATAGATTAAACAAAAAATATCAAAGATCTGCTTCAAGACCAAAGTTTCAAAATAATAACAATAATACATTCAGTTATTATTACATAAGACAACAACTAACGGGTTTCCTGACTTGGAACAGGCACTTTAACGTATTCTTGCGTCAATTGTTTTTTCTGTCAATGCGTATGTTGAATAAGGCATCACTAATCAAATTCAATTATTTAGAAATCTTTTTGGAACGACTTTAAGCTTTGCTCAATGGTGTTGAAGGTAAAAATATTTCTTTTTACTTTGCTTCGGTAAAAACATGATTTTACTTAAGTAAAAATTGATAAATTCTTAGTATGATTTAAAACCATAGGCGTCATTCAAAGTGCCGTGGATTCTATCTGGATACTAGTACATGTACGTCTGCAATTTAAATGTAATAGTTGTGGCATTCATTTCTAATCAAATGATTATCAAAAGAATACCAAAATATTAACTTTGCAGATGGCGAACATAAGAAGATCGAGGAATTTTATTCAGGTTGGATTTGTCTTTTTGGTGCTATTCCTGATATTGTGTTTCATATACAAAGTCTCATCAGGACTCAGAAGATCAGGTATGAGTAAAGATATGTAGATAAATTCATATACAAAGTCTCACTAGTACTCAGAAGATCAGATATGAGTAAAGACATGTAGATAAATTCATATGCAAAGTCTCACCAAGACTCAGAAGATCAGGTATAATTAAAGACATGTAGATAAATTCTGTACAAAGTCTCACCAGGACTCAGAAGATCAGGTGTACAATACAATACTTTTCTGCTCTTTGGTCGGGTTGTTGTCTCTTTGACACGTTCCCCGTTTCCATTCTCAATTTTATAACGTATAAGTAAAGATATGTAGATAAATTCATGTACAAAGACTCGTCAGGAATTAAAATTTCAGGTATATAGATTAATTTCAAGTCATAATAAAGATGGGCAAAACCACTATCACACGTTAAAATATCACGTTTGAATAATACGACAGAGTTATATTGCCTGATTTGTCTTAGGTAGTAAGCCTACTCCCCCTGTTCCTACAGTGGTTGTGAATTGGTATGCTCTGATCTAGGAAAAAGTGGTTGTATAAATTCAAAACTGCTAAATAGTCTTTTCCAGGGAGTGTAGTTCACTAAGAAGTATAGATGTTTAAAGGTGAGACTTTTGAGATTAAAAGTATTTCTAAAGTGATTTACACAACATATAGTATTTAACTTTTCTGATGAACGAGGTTCTGGATGGGATTCTCAGATGATAGAATAATCGGCATAAAATGAAGAATGGACAAAAATAGGCAAACAAATATAAGAGTACTACTGGGTGCTAAAACACATAGAATAGAGAATAGAGAATAATGGTCCAAAAAGTAAAGAATAGATGATAAATTACCTTAACAATTACAGAACGAAGACAGCTCCTCCAGACCCGCATGACAATTATCGTGTAATATGTGTACCAACTAAGATCCACTGACCGAATCAAGAAATCTATCATTCTTTATTGTGTCCGGGACGGATGGATTTTCCTTTTTTGAGTCAAATTAAGCCGCAGTCTCCACACCTGTTGAAGCCCTTCCGTCAATTCCTTTAAAGTTCAGCTTGCAACCATATACTTCCAACGTCGATTCACCATGACCACCGTTACTAAAATACGGTAAAATGTAATCTTAGATATTACAATATGGTGGTATTTATGTTTGAACCCTTATAGTTTCTGAAAATTTTTTAAATTGTGATTAAATCCAAACCTTTATTGATAAATTTCAATTTAGAAAATGTTAGTACAAACATTTTCTTTCTTGATGTGTGGAAAAAAGTCGATATGCAGAAAAGCTATATACTTATAAAGACGGAAATCGAAAATTTCGTGCACTTTTCTGAATTTAGCTTCACAAGGAAAGCTCAAACACAAACGCTTGAAATCCAATGAAGTATAAAACTTAAAAATGTGAGGATCGATATGACCAAATGATATATTCAAATTACCGGTATACCAAGAAGCCAAATTCACCAAGATAAACTTTGCCCGAGGCAGTTGTAATCTTTGTGTCTTAAAAACTTCCTAATAACACAACTGAGGATTTTTGAAAAAGTATGTTACATATTATATCAGCCTCGAGAACTGACCTCTGACTTGATAGTTCACCAGCAGCGGTACTGATCGAGTTCAAGTATAAAGTGCATAAGATTGGCTATTAAAAGATATACCATTACATTCAATATAAATTTTATTTAACTACGTACAAAGTGTTTTGACGGTTATTTACATGGTAATTAATAGAAAACTTTTTATAACATTTTCTATTATACTTAGTACATATATTGCATTAGTAAACTTCCTTTAACCAATTAGTTATAAAAATGGCTTAAAAGACAAATGAAATATGTATTAATTATTCCTGTATTTATTTGCAGGTAAAAGTCTGAATGACCCTGTTATATACACTTTTCGTGATGTTGCATGGAATAGAAACGTATCTGTTTGTAAAAGGGAACAACTACAGCTATTAAAATCAAAACATTATTTCCAGAAAGGTGTTATAAAATCTGAGTATGGGGTAGTAGATATATACATAAATAACCCGAAAGAAGACATTGTATCTCACGACATCCATAATAAAAATGTATGGGAACCTTGGGGTATCAATACTGTGTACAAATTCATTCGGCACGATCCTTCAATCGGCGTGATTGATATTGGTGCAAACATAGGTGTTATTGCACTACAGTTAGCTAATATGGGAAGGAAGGTTATTGCTATAGAGCCAACACCCCAAAATACACAGCATCTGTGTGCCTCTATTATAGAGAATGGGTATTGTGATCGGATCACCGTTGTTCATAATGCCCTTAGCAACGATCACCAAGATGTACCATTTGCGTTTCCAAGTAAAGGAGAGTATGCATTAGGATTTGTAGACCAAGGAAAAGACAATGTGGTAAAGGAAATGTCAAAGCTGTTTGGAAATTTCTATAGTAAAAATACAGTTCCCTTGAAAGCTGCTATTTTGGATGATATCATGACTCTTCCGGAATTCAAAGCAATGCAAAAAGTATTCATAAAAATAGATGTCCAAGGTTTTGAACATAAGGTGTTTGAAGGTTCAGAGAAACTGTTTCAGTCCGGAAAGGTGAACGGAGTATTTATTGAATGGTACTATCACAGAAACACGACATCTGGAAAATTCCTTTTACAAAAATTTCAAGAATTTGATTTTGAACCTTTCTTCTGTAGTGACGTTTTACAAGACGTTTCTTCTAATCTTGATACTCCGTGTGAAAAAATAGATGTTAAAAGGTCTGGTTCATGGGGGACCGATGTTGTATGGCTACCTCGAGGAAAATAGATTAAATTCAATGTACTTTGAAGGATCAGGCAATATGATTTCGTTTTGCAAGTGATTTAAGTAAACAAAAAAAAGTCAACTAAACTGTTATCTTCCTTTGACTAATGGATTATTCCATTACATCTAATTTAATTTTAATCTTTATTAATAAAAGTTAAAAAATTAAAAAGGAAAAAATTCTAAAATTGCATAAGACCCTTTCCTTCCAGTTGTATCAGATTTGGAGCTCTGTTTAATGTCAAACATTTATAACAAGAAGTTGTCAAATTGACAGCAAACCAAATGACCGGAAGGACAACGTGACCCTTTGTCATCACCTTGCCTCCGTCGTACGTCTGAATCATTCTCCTTTGAAATCGCTGAATGGATTGGTTCAGATTTTGTTTGATTTATCTATAAGATGTATACTTTGAAGTTTGTGATATTCACCCGTGCCCATCAACCAAAATGGCCACTGTAGATTAAAATAACTTACTGATAAACTGCAGCTTTTGGCTAATATCTAGAAAACTATTATAATTAAGAAAACTGATAGTATAAAAATAAATAAATAATGTTACATTAAAAATGATAGAAGCTAGTGTAAAAATTAAAAAATGATCAGCACCATAATAAATATCTAACGTGAAAATGTGACAAAAATCCAACAACCCATTTTGGAGTTATTGCCTCTAAAATATTAATTTTAAAATATTTTTGCACTTTTTGGCTTTTATCTTTAATATCATAGTAGCTAGGTTGCAAATTACAGGTAAACTAGTAGTTAACTAAAGTCAGATTATCGATTTGAATGTATGTCTAGATTGTAACTCAGACTTAACATTTCACATTCTAGATTTGCGAATTAACTCCTTAGGTAATATAATGTTTTAGATTGTGACAGTGTTTAAAAGTCGGTGTTAACATTTCTGAATGTTATTATTGCAGATCATCTGCAGCGGCATTAACACCTTATATGTAGAGTTATAGATTGTAACAAGTACACGTATTAGATATACCGTAAGGGTGTTAGCCCGAATGGGTGTATCTTATTTAACTAAGATATTAATGTCAAGCAAAACGATAGTTTTCAATAATTTAGGACGGGATCTTTCAGCGATTTGAACCATATGTTATTGAAAAGCATGATGAATGCAGGGTAAGGTTAAGAGAGACAGATTTGTATAAGTTCTACTTGTTTCCGAATCCCCGTATTTCTATTGTATAATTGTAATTTGTGGACTTTTGAAAAAATAAAATATCGTTTAAACTAAATGCAGGGTATCCATTTTTTTTAACGACATCTTGGTGTAAATACTAATGAAAACATTTTACAGCTTGTAGTTTTTACAAATGAATAACAATAAACTCTCACTTTTCAAATTTCATTGTTAACCATTAACCTTCAAATAATAGGAAGAAATAGAATTTCAAACACTAGGTCACTAGGTTAATTTGCCATATTTTTTATCTATCACTCGGTCATCCAAATCACATATAATAGAGGAGGTTTTATTCTCTCATTTCTCAGAAGAAACCTGAGACAATTCTGAAATTACTTATTAAACGTAATAGAATATACCTGCATATATTGTTGTCTGAATTCTGAACTACTAAAGGAGTTTAATGCCCCCACTTTGGCGTCAAGTTACAAAGAAATTCGATACCCCTCTTTATGTTCGTCAACTCATCTCTCAAACGACTGGTCAGTCCTTGTATGGTAATCTTAGTTACGTCGGTTTACATTTACATCCTATCATAGTGAACATTACGATCAAAAGATTTCCGCCGACCTTAATTAAAGATAAGTAGGGTCGATTTGACCAAATACAAAGATGCAAACCATTACAGGTCACAGTACTACTTTCATCAGTAAGTAGAACCCATACCGTAAAGTAAGCATTAAAAAGTCCGGGATGACAAAATGTGAAATAATCCAAAAGATAAAAACAACGGCTTTTGTCTGTATATGATTTAACCACTTTATATTTTGCAGAAACGTTTTTTATTGTATAAAAACGCGGTTAATTTAGCAAAATATTTAGGGGTCTAAATGGGAAGGTCTTCGTCTGTTCTGTATTCTTTGATTTTTTATGATGTTTTGTTTTCTATTCTTTATTTTTGTGCACCCTTTTGTTCTCTATTCTTTTATTATTAATATATCCTATATTTTTTTTACCCATTATTCTTTATCAAGTAAACCCCACCTAGACCCTGATATATGTACGAAGTAGAAAGCACAAATACTGAAAAAAATCGAACAAAACTAATGTGTCCACGTATATATAATGAAGATGTATGCAAGATTGATAAAGTGAAAATTGTTGCAGGCTTGAAGTCGTTACCGGGTAATACACTGGGTTATTGTATAATCGGAAACATGCTACACCCACATATGACTTTAGTAACCATAATATTATGCCATCGACAGGTCAGAATAACCGGTGAAGTTTAGATTAGATGTTGCAAATCTAAAATAAAAAGAAGTAAATTTCGATAGATTTATATCCAACTAATACTGTTTATGAGATAAAACAAAGTGTGTCTTAAAAATTGTCCAAAAGGACGAAACTGCACAAAAAGATATATTTTTATGAGTAAAATCACTGATATAGTGTTCGAGTTGACGAAAATACTTTCATCTTAAAATTGACGAAAATCAGGAAACTTTTGAAAATGCTCCATTATTAAAGCACCTTAACACATGTTTCAGCTCGATAAAACATGTAACTTCTTACATCATGTAACGTAGTTTCCATTCCATTTGAAACTAAGGAAAATGACTGTTGTGCATCATTTGAAAAATCTAATGTGCAGTTTACTATCCATATCCATATACTGAAAAAAATCCTAAGATTTTAGGATTTTTCAGTAGATCAATATGGATAGTAATCTGCAAATTGCTAGAAAAACAGAAATATTGACGCAAACGTTCAATACTTTAATAATGTTATATATAAAACTAGACAGGAAATACGAAAAATAATTTGAAACACATTGACAAACAAAATTCTAATCTGCTAACCCGAGTTCCTGTGACGGACATGTCAAAATATGATAACTGGTCAAGTTAATTAAATACCTTTATATGTTGCATACATAATTTGCTTTTATAAATATGCTATACATAGATGTCACATGTAGAAAGCACAAAATTAATATTGAAAAAAATCGAACAATAATTATGTATCCTACATCACCAAGATGCATGCATGATTGATAACCCGGAAGCTGTTGCTTGGTTTAAATTTTTTTAACCCGGCTATGAACTCTATGTTTTTAAATGAGAAGCACACTACATTCCATATATGACTTTAGTTACAATGATGATATGTCAAGGACAGGTCAAAATATTATAATAACTGGTCAGGTTTAGATTAGATGTTGGACATCTAAGGGAAAAAAGGTGAGTTAGGTCATTTTCAATATGTTTATATTTTTAACTAACGCTATTTATGAGAGAGAGAAAGAGTGCAGTTAAAAAATGACCATGAGGACAAAACTGCACAAAAAGATCTAATTCTATGTGTAAAGTGCCGGAGAAGAAATTGGTTTGAATAACTTAATCTTAAAAACGTCTTAAACTTAAGACATGCTTTAGATGAAATAATATTTTTCAATTCGATACAATATCACATTAAAAAGATGGTCGAATCATCAAGGACTTCACTTGTTTCTGTTACAGTTGGAACCAGCTCTAAATTATAAGCCTGGTATCTTTTGTTAGGTTTTTTTTTACAACCATTGGCTCAATACCACTGATGATGAAATGTTTGTCCCCGAGGTTATCATCACCAGCCCATTAGTAATCACTTCTGTGTTGACATAAATTATCATTGAAATTGTCATAGCGGTATTTATAAATTAACTGTCTACAAAACTTTGATTTGTTCGAAATACTAAGGATTTTCAACCACAGGAATAGATTACATTAACTGTACTTGGCAAAACATTTCGGAACTTTTGGACCTCAATTGCTCTTCAACTTCGTACTTTATTTGACCTTTAAACTTTTTTTTTATTAGAGCATCACTGGTGAGTCTTTTGTAGACGGAACGCGCGTATGGCGTACAACATTATACGTCTGGTATCTTTGATGCGTTTATTTTCTAACCTCTCGCAAAATCTGCGAGGAACTGTCAGGACAATTTTTGCAGAACAGTATGTAGATAATAAACTCATCATAGATACCAGGATTGAAATTTTATATTTGCGCCATACGCTCGTTTCGTCTACAAAAGACTCATCAGTGACGCTCGAATACATTTTTTTTAAAAAGGACAAATAAAGTAGATCAGTTCTCCTGACATCTTTAGAACAGCTTTATATAGTTTGTGCTTATGATGTGCTGTTGCGTCATTGTCCCAGGTTAAAAGGGGGATTGGGCGCACAGAAACATGTTTAACACCGCTTCATTCTGTATGTGTCTGTCCCAAGTCAGGAGCCTGTATTTCAGTGGTTGTCGTCTATTGCTGTATATCATATTTGTTTTTGTTTCTTGTTTTGTCCATAAATCAGGCTGTTAGTTGTCTCGTTTGATTTACATTTGTCATGTTGGTGTCTGTTATAGCTTGCCATGCGGTGCTAACTACTGTCATTTCGGTCTCTGGGGGAAAGTTGTCTCATTGACAATCATACCACACATTATTATTGTTTATATAGTACAATATATATCATAACTTATTTAAAACAAAACACCATTAAATATATGTGAATATACCAGTACATATTATATGAACATTAAATTTTATAAATTGAATTTGAATACATGTTTGAATCCCTACGAGATGCTTTATTATTATAGAATACGTATCTTGTAAAAAGGGTCAGTTTGATGCTGCTTTTTAAAAAAAAAAGCATAAGTTACAACTCCTTACAAAGAGAGAAAGAGCGAGTCCGTCAAACGTCTAAGCAACACCGGACAACAACAAACACACAATTGTATAACAAATGTCGAATAATTTACTGAGAATTAATGAGTTGTATATAGATTAAACAAAAAATATCAGACCAAAGTTTCAAAATAATAACAATAATACATTCAGTTATTATTACATAAGACAACAACTAACGGGTTTCCTGACTTGGAACAGGCACTTGAACGTATTCTTGCGTCAATTGTGTTTTCTGTCAATGCGTATGTTGAATAAGGCATCACTAATCAAATTCAATTATTTAGAAATCTTTTTGGAACGACTTTAAGCTTTGCTCAATGGTGTTGAAGGTAAAAATATTTGTTTTTTACTTTGCTTCGGTAAAAACATGATTTTACTTAAGTAAAAGTGATAAATTCTTAGTATGATTTAAAACCATAGGCGTCATTCAAAGTGCCATGGATTCTATCTGGATACTAGTACATGTACGTCTGCAATTTAAATGTAATAGTTGTGGCATTCATTTCTAATCAAAAAATTATCAAAAGAATACCAAAATATTAACTTTGCAGATGGCGAACATAAGAAGATCGAGGAATTTTATTCAGGTTGGATTTGTCTTATTGGTGCTATTCCTGATATTGTGTTTCATATACAAAGTCTCACCAGGACTCAGAAGATCAGGTATGAGTAAAGATATGTAGATAAATTCATATACAAAGTCTCACTAGGACTCAGAAGATCAGATATGCGTAAAGACATGTAGATAAATTCATATGCAAAGTCTCACCAAGACTCAGAAGATCAGGTATAATTAAAGACATGTAGATAAATTCTGTACAAAGTCTCACCATGACTCAAAAGATCAGGTGTACAATACAATACTTTTCTGCTCTTTGGTCGGGTTGTTGTCTCTTTGACACGTTCCCCGTTTCCATTCTCAATTTTATAACGTATAAGTAAAGATATGTAGATAAATTCATGTACAAAGACTCGTCAGGAATTAAAATTTCAGGTATATAGATTAATTTCAAGTCATAATAAAGATGGGCAAAACCACTATCACACGTTAAAATATCACGTTTGAATAATACGACAGAGTTATATTGCCTGATTTGTCTTAGGTAGTAAGCCTACTCCCCCTGTTCCTACAGTGGTTGTGAATTGGTATGCTCTGATCTAGGAAAAAGTGGTTGTATAAATTCAAAACTGCTAAATAGTCTTTTCCAGGGAGTGTAGTTCACTAAGAAGTATAGATGTTTAAAGGTTAGACTTTTGAGATTAAAAGTATTTCTAAAGTGATTTACACAACATATAGTATTTAACTTTTCTGATGAACGAGGTTCTGGATGGGATTTTCAGATAATAAAATAATCGGCATAAAATGAAGAATGAACAAAAATAGGCAAACAAATATAAGAGTACTACTGGGTGCTAAAACATATAGAATAGAGAATAGAGAATAATGGTCCAAAAAGTAAAGAATATATGATAAATTACCTTAACAATTACAGAACGAAGACAGCTCCTCCAGACCCGCATGACAATTATCGTGTAATATGTGTACCAACTAAGAACCGCTGACCGAATCAAGAAATCTATCATTCTTTATTGTGTCCGGGACGGATGGATTTTCTTGTTTTGAGTCAAATTAAGCCGCAGTCTCCACACCTGTTGAAGCCCTTCCGTCAATTCCTTTAAAGTTCAGCTTGCAACCATATACTTCGAACGTCGATTCACCATGACCACCGTTACTAAAATACGGTAAAATGTAATCTTAGATATTACAATATGGTGGTATTTATGTTTGAAACCTTATAGTTTCTGAAAAATTTTTAAATTGTGATTAAATCCAAACCTTTATTGATAAATTTCAATTTAGAAAATGTTAGTATAAACATTTTCTTTCTTGATGTGTGGAAAAAAGTCGATATGCAGAAAAGCTATATACTTATAAAGACGGAAATCGAAAATTTCGTGCACTTTTCTAAATTTAGCTTCACAAGGAAAGCTCAAACACAAACGCTTGAAATCCAATGAAGTATAAAACTTAAAAATGTGAGGATCGATATGACCAAATGATATATTCAAATTACCGGTATACCAAGAAGCCAAATTCACCAAGATAAACTTTGCCCGAGGCAGTTGTAATCTTTGTGTCTTAAAAACTTCCTAATAACACAACTGAGGATTTTTGAAAAAGTATGTTACATATTATATCAGCCTCGAGAACTGACCTCTGACTTGATAGTTCACCAGCAGCGGTACTGATCGAGTTCAAGTATAAAGTGCATAAGATTGGCTATTAAAAGATATACCATTACATTCAATATAAATTTTATTTAACTACGTTCAAAGTGTTTTGACGGTTATTTACATGGTAATTAATAGAAAACTTTTTATAACATTTTCTATTATACTTAGTACATATATTGCATTAGTAAACTTCCTTTAATCAATTAGTTATAAAAATGGCTTAAAAGACAAATGAAATATGTATTAATTATTCCTGTATTTATTTGCAGATAAAAGTCTGAATGACCCTGTTATATACACTTTTCGTGATGTTGCATGGAATAGAAACGTATCTGTTTGTAAAAGGGAACAACTACAGCTATTAAAATCAAAACATTATTTCCAGAAAGGTGTTATAAAATCTGAGTATGGGGTAGTAGATATATACATAAATAACCCGAAAGAAGACATTGTATCTCACGACATCCATAATAAAAATGTATGGGAACCTTGGGGTATCAATACTGTGTACAAATTCATTCGGCACGATCCTTCAATCGGCGTGATTGATATTGGTGCAAACATAGGTGTTATTGCACTACAGTTAGCTAATATGGGAAGGAAGGTTATTGCTATAGAGCCAACACCCCAAAATACACAGCATCTGTGTGCCTCTATTATAGAGAATGGGTATTGTGATCGGATCACCGTTGTTCATAATGCCCTTAGCAACGATCACCAAGATGTACCATTTGCGTTTCCAAGTAAAGGAGAGTATGCATTAGGATTTGCAGACCAAGGAAAAGACAATGTGGTAAAGGAAATGTCAAAGCTGTTTGGAAATTTCTATAGTAAAAATACAGTTCCCTTGAAAGCTGCTATTTTGGATGATATCATGACTCTTGCGGAATTCAAAGCAATGCAAAAAGTATTCATAAAAATAGATGTCCAAGGTTTTGAACATAAGGTGTTTGAAGGTTCAGAGAAACTGTTTCATTCCGGAAAGGTGAACGGAGTATTTATTGAATGGTACTATCACAGAAACACGACATCTGGAAAATTTCTTTTACAAAAATTTCAAGAATTTGATTTTGAACCTTTCTTCTGTAGTGACGTTTTACAAGACGTTTCTTCTAATCTTGATACTCCGTGTGAAAAAATAGATGTTAAAAGGTCTGGTTCATGGGGAACTGATGTTGTATGGCTACCTCGAGGAAAATAGATTAAATTCAATGTACTTTGAAAGGATCAGACAAAATGATTTTGGAAGATAAGAGATTTTAGTGAACAAAAAAGTCAAATAAACTTGGATCTTTTTTTGAAAGATGGATTATGTGCATTACATTTAATTCAATTTTCATATTTATTAATAAATGTTATGAAAGATTAAAAGGGAATCATTCTCCTTTGAAATAGCGGAATCGATTGGCTCAAAGGGTGTCTTTTTCATCTATAGGATGTATACTGTGAAGTAATTTATATTTGCCCATGTCCACCAACCAACATGGGCACTGTAGATTTAAAACAAAACTTACGGATCAACTGAAGTGTTTGGCTTATATCTGGTAAACTATAATAATTAACAAAAACTAATACTATAATCATGGTAAGCAAGACAAGCTTTAAATACCATGAACATTTTAGAAATATCTGTCAATCAGTTTTTGAGCATTAACGTTGGGGATGTTTTTTTTATAACTTTTTTAGCAGATTTTTTTTATTGTCTCAAAAAAATTGGAGAGAGGTTAAAAGTGAGAATTTAAAAATGATCAGCACGATGAGATCTACTTCCCCAAAACTTCAGCAAAATCTGACGACAACCCCTTCAAAGATATTTTTTCATATTAGTTTTACTGTTACGTATAAAATGATAGGAGCTAGTGTAAAAAATCAAAAAATTATCAGCACCATAAGAAATATCTACTCTGAAATCTAACAGTCCATTTGGAGTTATTGCCCCTAAATTATTTATTTTAACATATTTTTGCAGTTTTTGGCTGTAATCTTAAATATTATGGTACACATGAATGCATTTCCAGATTGTAACTCAGGCTTAACATCTTAACTCCTTAGGTAAAATAACGTTTTAGATTGTGACAATGTTTAAAAATTTCACATTATCTGCAGCAGCATTAAACACCTTGTATGTAGAGATTGTAACAAGTACAAGTACTAATTAATAAATCTTACAGCTTTGTGTTAGTTTTTTTTCTTTCATTTTTACAATTAACCTAGGAAGCAATAGAACTTTAAACACTAGGTAAACTTGTCATTTTTTTTTATTTTTCACACTCGGGCATTCAATTCACACAGAGGAGGTTTTATTTGCTCCTTTATCAGAAGAAACCGAAGACAATTCTGATATTACTTATCGAAGTTATAGTATATAATTTCCTGTTAAAATTATTCATGAAAAAAGGACTTTTTTGTGAAAAGAAAAGAAAATCTATCAAAAAGAATTTTGAAACAAAATATTAGAAAGATATATTTTATGATTTGCTTTTAAAAAATCAAAATAAAAAATGGTGTCACCGAAATTGTTTTCTTTCTAAAAGTAAAAAAGGAAACTTTCATTAACATTACTTTAAGAGTTATATCCCCTCACATGGCTATGTTGAATCGAACAAAAAAATATACTTGGTATTTTAAAAACAGTCTAAATAATACTATGATTCACTTTTTTTATTTACAAAACAATCTTATACACAAATTGACATTCTGTCTCAAAATTTGCAGATGTAAGCAAAGAACTAGAACGATTGTGTACTGCTATTGTACAATGCAAAACGGCGGTATACAGTTAATCTACCTTAAGAGTATTTTTAGGTAAATATTATACAGAAGAATACTGTTAATGTTTCAAATGTGAATATGATATTTTTTTATGTGACATGCTTCTGTCGAGATGTTTGTTACAATTATAAGTAAGGACTTTTATAAATATATGTGTATTGCTTGCTGTATTTTTTTTAAATGAAAAAAATTAAAATGTCAAAGTCGGATTTTCTTTTCTTTTTTGTCATATTTGATACTTAATCTTCAAATCATAAGAAGGATAAGAATTTTAAACATCATTGTTGAATTAATAGCTAATTGAATGATTTTAAGCTTTATATGGCTTATTTACTTCAACTAATGGACAAGAATGTATATTGTGTATCTATTTATGATACAAACTCCCTACACGTACCTTTCGTCAAAACTTAAGCAAAAGACACTTTTATTGCTTTTCTACATCTGACAGAGAAAGTGAGGCCTTCAGCACGGAGCACAAGATCACACCTCACAACAAATTCGAGACGCCTTAAGCAGCGGTTGAACGGAATGTTTTGCAAGACTCCTATAAAGCTACATTTGTGCATTATGATACACAGAAAGGGAGGAGTGCAGACTATAAAAAGTGTTATTTCGGATGATTCTCTGTTCTATATGAATTTTGATATTTATAGAGACCCTTCTTGTGAAGATTGATTACTATGTTGAATACATCTATCTCATCGAACTTAAAATTTATGATACAACAGATACAGTTAAGTCTGCCTCATATCTTGACTTACATCTAGAAATTTACAATTAGGGTCGGTTGAGAATAAAACTTTACGACAAGAGAAGAGATGATTTCAGCTTCCCAATTGTGAAATTTCTATTTCTATGTAGCAACATTCCAGCAGCGCTTGCATATGGAACAGAAATCTCCCAGTTGGAATGATATTCCAGGGCTTGCGTTTCCTATCATGATTTTCTTGATAGAGGGTTGCTGCTTACAAGGAAGCTATGAAACCGTGAGCTCCAAGCGGTCAAGTTGAAATCATCGAATATTTTACGGACGCCTTAGCGAGTTGGTTGACCGTTATGGAATATCTGTTTCACAGATGACGACCGGTATCTTCGTCGTAACCACAATCCCGTCCTCCTTTTCCCCAAATGTGACCTACAGAATAAGACTCATCACCGTACTTACATGACTTTTCGACTTAAAGAGTTTGAATGTCCATTTTGTATCTTTCGCCTCTCTTCTAGTTTGAAAAACATTCTTTTTAAATTTTGATTTCATTTTGATTTGTTGGAAATGTATGTAATGCATGAGTATGGATATCAAGGTGGTATAATTAATAGAACTTGTAATTTATTCTTATGGTGGGTACTTTTTTTGTTTGTTGCCGAACAAAACTGGATAATATAGGCGCCGAATACCTAGAACATAATTTATATTTTTGGTCGTCTATAAAAGAAGCACATGTGTCATCAATGCTAACTAAAGATACCCGTCTTGTACTTTTTCTGGACTCAGGGTTTTCTGTTTGAATAAAGGTTTATTCTAAATTGAAACATCTATCTGGATGTAAAGAAATATTGCATCTTTTTTTGGTACGGATATCATGATTAGTGGAGATGGTACGCACTAGTAAATACAGGAAACAGAAAGTAAAAAAAAAGTAGTTTTGACTTCAATGTTTCATAACTTTTTATTCTTCGTGGCATGAGGGCTTTTTTCCATCAAATCACAATTTCCCATTACTACAAACATGATATATACATGGAAAATTTTTCTGTGCAGCATTTCAATTTGAACAAAAAAATAAAGATCAGCTGTTTTCTATGAAAGCCTATGGAACTGTCAAATACATGACTGCATCCTACAGACATTTTGAAATAAAGACGTTTCAATTTCTCATCATTACATCCCCCTTTTTTATCAATTTTACTTAGGTGTTAGTATGAAAACAGGATGATTAATTATCAGTGTTGTTCGGTCACGAGTTGAATATTTTTCGATATTTGAATTCTTTGATTAGTTATTCTTTTTATTACATTGGCAAATGGCTTTTTTTAATGAAATTAATGTAGAAAATGTAAGGAACTATATCTTTTTTCTACGCATTCACAATTTGTTTTGATCCGACGTTATCGACGTCTTGACAACGCCTATTGTTGTATGACGTCAGAGAGTGAAATAACCACGTTTATTTCACATGTGAAATTATCGGTTTTTATTTGACTGGGAAATCAATGTAATTCAATGCTACCAATGTAATAATTATTCATAAACATTCTCAACCCGGGATTAAATGATAAATAATATTTTAATTTTTACGAAACATTTTGAAGACTTTACTCCAATTTTAAAATGACATTAGTAGTCTCCCTTGTATTTGTTAACGTCATACTATTGTTAACGTGAATCAATTGTTTTATCACATTTATGTATACAAGTCACATTACCTGAAGATCTGTGAAAGCAGTGAAAGCGCTAGTAAAAGTGATGAATTGAAACCGTCATTATCTTATATTATTTTTCTTATATGTTACCAGCATACGGATTCTATTTGACTTTTCTTTATATATATATATATATATATATATAAACAAGTCTAAATTGAAAACAACGTTCAAACCTATAATTGCGTTGGATAAAAACCGCAATTTTTATACGTGTGCATGCAAAACAAATTTCTTGGTAGAGGGGTCTAAATACAGCACAAACAACATTTTCCAAAAGACCAAATGAGTGAAAAAGTATATTTTAACAAAACGCATTTGACTAGCAGGTCGAACAACTGATGTTCTTAAACCCTGCTGACTGCCATTGGCGATTGCCAAATAAACGGATCACAAGATGTAACAAAACAGATCTTATTATTAAATTATTACCAAACAGAAAACAATAAACCTGCGGAAAAGATGGTATACCGCAAACATCAGGTGCAAAAATTTGTACACCATATCCGGATTTCGACAATTTATGTCTCTTCAGTGATGTTAGGAATCGAAACGGTATTTGGAAGGCCATATAATTTACCTCAATTTAGGATAGACTCTTGAATTTTGAAAGAGTCAAAATAGGATGAACGGATCATATAAACCCGAAGGCAAATATAATACAAGCCCAAACGAAAAAATATAAACAAGTCTAAATTGAAAACAACGTTCTATCCTATGATTGCGTTGGATAAAAACCGCAATTTTTATACGTGTGCATGCAAAACAAATTTCTTGGTAGAGGGGTCTAATATATATATATATATATATATATATATATATATATATATATATATATATATATATATATAAGGAGATTTGTTATGATTGCTAATGATAAACTATCAACCATAGTCTTAATAATGTGAATGTAAGCAACTATAAGTCACCATACGGGAATGAGCAAAACCCGTATTATAGTCAGAATCTCTGCCTAATTTGGGAAAATCTCATTAAACTATTATTATTGGGACAATTGATGCACAACTGTCATTGTTGTTCTTTTCAAATGGAATGGAAACTACGTTACATGATGTAAGAGAAAACAAAGGAAGTCTTTGATCTACCATGTTTTTAATATGACATTGTATCGAGTTGAAACGTATGATTTGATTTGATGTTTTTGGTGTTTTAACGCCACTTTTAAGCACCGCTTTTGGGCTATTTCGTGGCGGCCAGTTTTTATTGGTGGAGGAAGCCGGAGTGCCCGGAGAAAACCACCGACCTTCGATAGGAAAACTGACAATCCTAGTCAATTAAGATTGGAGTCGAGTGCACCAGCACGAGCGGGGTTCGAACTCACAACCTCAGTGTTGACTGGCTAGTGATTACAGTAGTAACTACTTAGACCACTCGGCCACCGAGGCCCCCGTTGAATCGTATGTAAAGGTGCTTTAATAATATACCATTTTCAAAAGTTGACTAATTTTCGTGATCTTCCAATTAGAATTTTTACATGAGAATATTTTAGTCCACTCGAACACTATGTCAGTTATTTTACACATCAAAATATATCTTTACTGTGCAGTTTTGTCCCTGTGGACAATTTTTGAGTACAAACTTTTTCTCTCATAAACAGTGTTAGTGGAATATAAATATATCAAAATTTCTTGTTATTTTAGATTCTAACATCTAATCTTAACTTCACGGAATGTAGCATGCTTCCGATTATACAATAACCAAAGTTATTACCGGTAACGACTTAGAGCTAACTCCACCTTTTGCTTTATCAATCATGCATACATATTCATTTTATTGGAGGACATAAGTTCTGTTCATTTTTTAATATTTGTGCTTCTACTTGTGACATATATAAGGGTTTTTGGTGTAGTTTAAAAATAAAGTATCTACTACGGATTTTAACAAGCATTCATATTCAATGTTCATACAATAAATATAACATACATTGTATAGTGTTTTGTTTTGAATAAGGTATGATATATATGTACTATATATAACAATAGAAAGGTGTGGTGTAATTGCCAATAAGACAACTCTCCACCAGATACCATACTAAAAGAAGTTAGCAACTATATAGGTCACCTTATGTGTTGCTTAGTCTTTAGTTTTCTATGTTGTGTTTTGTGTACTGTTGTTTGTCTGTTGGTCTATTTCTTTTTAAGCCATGGCGTTGTCAGTTTATGTTCGAGTTTGAAAGTTCCTTTGTTATCTTTCGCCTCTCTTTTATAGCCGTCAACAATGAGCAAAACGCATACTGCATGGCAAGCTATAAAAGACCCTGGCATGACAAATGAAACATTTCAAACGAGAAAACTGGTTGGCGTCTGTTGCTGTGTATCATATTTGTTATTCGTTCATTGTTTTTTTACATAAATGAGGCCGTTAGTTTTCTCGTTTGAATTGTTTTACATTGGTCATTTCATGGCCTTTTAAAGCCGACTATGCAGTATCTGGTTTGCTCATTGTTGAAGGCCGTAAGGTGACATATAGTTGTAAACTTCTATATAATTTGGTCACTGGTGGAGAGTTGTCTCATTGGCAACCATACCACATCTTCTTATATTTTTATGAACTCATAAAATCGCTTCTGTAAAAACTATTATACAGGCGTCAGGAGAACTGTTCTAAAAACTTTTCTGCAACAGGTCGCATGACAGTTTCTGACCGATTTTTTTCAGAGGATCGGAAAAAACCTCATCAAAGATACCAGGATTATAATTTTGTACTCCAGACGCGCGTTTCTTCTTCTAAAGATTCACTATTGACGCTCGAGATCGGATCA